TATATTACAACAAGGATTGGACATTTTGGTGAGAATCCTCCAAAAATATACAAAGGATGTAGAACAGATACATTAAGAAGATTTTATAGAGATAATTATTTTTTAGAAGATGGATTAGGTGGATAATAATTAAGATTATTAACTGAATTAGGTTTATAAGATAAACCATTAGAATATTTTCATGAAAAATAACATGCTTGTGATTTCATTAAAGATTCTATTTATAAATATGGAGAGGATTTGTGTATTATTTGTATTGGATCAATGACTAATATTTATTTAACATTATAAATGTATCCAGCTATTGTAGATAAACTTGGATGTTTATTTGCTAAGGGTGGAACATATAGGGGAGTAGGAAATGTAGCTAATTCAGTAGCTGAATTCAATGTATAAACAGATGTAGAAGCTACAGCAGCAGTAGCTATGGGAAAGTTTAAATAAAAGATGTTATTGCAATTTGATGTTGTTTTAGCTTACACTTTAATAAATAAAATGGAAAAGTCATTTTTGAGAATGAAGCTAATACAAAGAAATCTCAATTTGTTGAAAGTATTTTCAAAGCTGTAAGTCATGATGGAAACTACATCCTTTTTGATTGTATATTCATTTACAATATCTATTATAGAATTGGCTGTAATGGTAGCATTAGTACCAAGTTTGATAGTTTATTCTATATAAAAGAATATATCTATTGTCTCTGATGGATAGGCAAGAGGATAAGTTATCATAGATTGGTTAACATTGCTAAGATGTAATCAAAAATCAATAGTAAGTATTCTAACAGCTTTTGAATGGGATTCTGTTATTGAAATAGCTACTAAAGCTAATTAAGATCAATAATGATTTATAAATATCAAATATAAACTACAATATTATAAAGTTTCTCCTAAAAAAAATACATTATCAATTTTAGTATTCTCAATACTAATTGATTAATTATTTTTACAAACAAAAATTTCAATATCATTCGATATCCATTTGTTGCAGGCTATTAATTTAACCAGGAATTATTTATTTTAAATTGTATATTGATACTATAAACAAAATTTTAGTCATTATCAATTAGCAATCTTTAATTTCAATAGTTCTATGAGCAATAATCATTACTATTTCATTCTCAGAATATTTCAAATTCTAATGTATGTCTAAAGAACCAAAAATTACTAACCATCTTTAAAAAAACTAAATTATTATTATATGAATCTTAATGAAGTTAATAACTATAAATTTTCTCTCCTGTTTCTTTAATCCAAAATCTTAATCTATTAAATTATCGGGGCATTTTAATGTAAATTTTAAAGTTCTAATAATATTTCCTTATTCTAAATAAAGTTTTTAGAACGATATCATGATTATAGTAAAATTCATAAAATCCAAAGTCTTATTATCATCTGATACTAAATTTTTTTACATAAATGAAAGACTAAAATTTTATTACTTTATTCTGATCCATTTTTCTCATAAAAAAATCAAAATAGTTTATCTTTGGCTTAAATAATTAATAAAGAACCATCAGTTAAATATACATAAGAATCTAAATGCCCTCTCAATCTAATTGAATCTCAAACATTCTAAAATGGATATATTAATATTACGAAAATATAAACTTCTATCTTAAAACAATACATTTAGGATAAAACTCTCTTTTATTTTATATTTAATTCTCTATCAGTTTTATTTTATAATAATTTCAAAATGTTAGATCCTCATAATAAATTTTATTTTATTATTCTCTTTCATTTCAAAAATGATAACTATTCATTACTATCAAGTTTGATTCAAGTATTAAAAGTAATACTACTAATAATTACTTAAGTACTCAGATCATATATATGAATTATCTCATCTTTAACTAAAAAAGCAAAATTAGATTTAGGAAATAACTAAACAGGAAAGGATTCTTCTATAATATTAACATCAGCAGAATTATCATACTAAAATTCTCCATAAGCCAAAAAGGTTTCTGCTGCAATAACTAATTTTTTTTCATTTGGTATGGTTATATATTAGATTTTATATTCTTAAAAAGACAATACTTAGCATTTACAATCATCTTTTAAATCCCATGATAATAATAAGTTGTTACATGCAGATACTAATCTATTTCCACTTTTACTAAAAGCTAATGCTACAATTTTTCCTGTATGGCCTATTAAAACTCTTTCATTCTTAGTTTTTAATTCAATTAATTTAATACTGGAGTCATCTAATGCTAAGGCAAGCAATTTATCATCCTAAGTTAATACGCAAACCAAGATTTCTTCTTAATACTAAAATATAATATCATCTGGTTTTTCTGAGATAATTTCAGAATTGCAATGCATCAAAAATCCTGCATTATCAGCTGAAACTATTTTTTTTCCATCTAAAGCAAATTTAACTCCTGTAACTGGATTGTCATGATAATTTAAAGAAACTATCAATTATTTTTTTTTT